CCATAGAACATAGCATGCACGCTTACTTGTACTATAAGTGTCCATTATATCCACACATTGAAATAGTGGAGAGACTGGTGAGGTGACTTGGGAGGTTGTGTAAGGATGATTTTAGGGATATTTTCATAGGTGTTATCAGAATCATCAGGATGTCCAATCATGTTCTCTATGGCAATGAATGAATGGTAGTTCCTTGGAATTTTTGAGTGATTCTCATGGTATGGGAAGATGTGTTCATGAAATGTGATGTTTCTAGATATGAAAATGTTTTTGTTGTTAATATCAAACAGGACAACACCTTTTACTCCAGTTTTGTATTCTAGGAAAATGCATTTTCTAAATTTATAGTCCAATTTTTGTTTTGTTGGACTGAAGAAGGCACAAAATAAAGAACCTAAAACTTTAAAGAGTGCATATCAGGTATTTCAACTTTAAGGAACGTTTCTCCCAAGCATCAGCTGCGTTTTCTATGAACACGATGGAATGTGCGATGGATGTGTCAACAAAGTTCATAATTCAGGAATGGATAAGCATGTTACAAAGATTCCAACCACACATCAAAGGATCAGAATGATTAGCTTGCATCTGAATGGTTCCATCAAGACACTTGATCTTCGTTTTGGCACCTGGAGCACGACGCGTAAACCTCGCCCATGAATGATAATTCGAACCAGTTAGAACAGACATCATAGATACAAAGGAAGAACCTTCCCTGGAGTGAACGAAAATGGACTCTATGATCTAAGACAGGACCAACAGTTGGTGGTGGAGTCATCTGAGGCAGCATGGTGATGGCAGAATCAAAGGTCCAGATCGAAAGAGCAATTGATACCGTATTAGAATAAATTGAAATTTACAGTAAAAGCAACATATAGTTGAACAAGATAGAAGCTATTTTGAATGATTTTCAAAACCGAGTTATATTCTCGCTTATGAATTATGTTCAGGCAAGTTAAAAAATGCATTCATACAGTTCAGTTCTATATTGCTTATTCTATTTGACATTTTCAGTTTTATGGAGATAGAAAAACTCATCCATCACAATATGTTACTTTTTGTAGGCCCATCAGAATGTTTTTCACCAATTGGTTGATTTGATTGGAATCACATCCATTATGGAGGTGAACTTTTGCCTTTCCGTTCTTAATTATAACAGTACCTTGGATTGGTAATAATTGATTCTGAGATTTGCTCTTCGCGCAGGTTTTGGTTCGATTAGTAGGTGCCGATGACCATGTGTATCCCAACTTTATTGATGTGATGCAATGGTTGGCCGGGAGCAACCTGCTTGAGATGATTGTTGATAAATTAAGTCCATCTGTAAGTGAAGCATATATCCAGCTTTATGTTTTTCTGAGCCAAATTTTACATGTTAACTATACGATAACAACACATTTGCACTTAGCTGGATGCCATACAGACGTATTTTAGCTGCATGATGCATATGCCCTTTAATGTATGAAAGTGATCCATATGATTATATTGAGTGTGTATTAGAAAAAGAACAAGGAAAACAAAAGAAAACATGCAATTACAATTATTGTTTTATGGATTAGTGTCTTGGAATTATGACACCCAATCTCTGAATGATCAAATTTGCAATTAGTAATCAGCAATCATTTCGGACTATTCAACCAAAAAATCTCTAATCTTTTTCAGGTGAATTTGTAATTAGTATTGCAGTTTTAATCTTGTAGCATTTTTGCATCCTGGTCTCTTTCGACCTACTTGGAATTTATGTTATGCTTGATATTAGTTGTAAGGTATATTTTTGCCGATCTGTTTCCGATTCCCCGTTTATTTGTTGTGTATATTTTTATTTGTTTTTTGGAATGACACGCTGACACTTCTTTTTCATTTGCATTATCATCATACAGGGAGGAGGTTCTTTGAGGAGTTGGATAGAGACGGTGATGGCCAAGTAACTTCAGAAGATCTAGAAATTGCAATGAGAAGGAGAAAGCTTCCTCGTAGATATGCTAAAGAATTCATGAGCCGAACAAGAAGTCACTTATTTTCTAGGTCTTTTGGTTGGAAGCAATTCTTATCATTCATGGAACAAAAGGAGCCAACAATTCTTCGTGCATACACTTCTTTGTGTTTATCCAAGTCAGGGACGTCGAAGAAAAGTGAAATATTGGAGTCACTAAAGAATTCAGGACTGCCTGCAAACGAAGACAATGCTGTTGCAATGATGCGATTTCTAAATGCTGACACAGAAGAATCTATTTCATATGGACATTTCCGAAATTTCATGCTTCTGCTTCCCTCAGATCGTCTTCAAGAGGATCCTAGGTAAGATTAAGTGGAATATTACCATGTGATTGGTTTTCTTTCTTTGACATCCTTGTTTTGATCATGGGATTGTTTTTCTGTTAGATCACATTCAATACAAATGAAATTATTGAACATGATTATATTATGAAGATGTGTTACTGTCAGTAGTACTTCAATTAATTTCCATATCGGCTCAACATCCACCACCAGCAATGAGTAATATTCATTCTTCGTTGATATTGATAACTGTTCTTAATATGATTCAGGAGTATTTGGTTTGAAGCTGCAACTGTAGTTGCTGTTCCACCATCCGTCGAAATTCCTGCTGGAAGTGTTCTAAGATCTGCATTGGCAGGTGGCCTTTCCTGTGCCCTGTCTTGTGCATTATTGCATCCTGTTGATTCAATCAAGGCATTATTTAAATTTAAGGTATTATTCAATCGTGTAAAGATCTATTTATATTTTTCAGATTAATAGAGCAGCTGCTATATTAGAAAAAACTGGTTTGATCAAGTATGATAGGAAGAGTGGATATTTTGAAGTCACAAATATTGGTCGAATTGCAAGTTACTACTCGGTAGCATATGGAACAACTTCAAAGTATAACGAGCATTTGAAGCCTACAATTGGAGACAGTGAACTTTTTCACTTAATATCCAAAAGTGAAAGAGTTTAAAGGTATAACTGTCAGGCAAGATGAGAAGATTGAGATGGCAAAGTTTTTAAACCGCATTCCCATTCCAATTCCCAATAATATAGAAGAGCCTTCTGCTGTCAAGATTAATTTTTTAATCCAAGCATATATTTCACACATAGAATTTGAGGATTTCACAACAACTTTTGAATGAATTTTATAATTCAGGTATTTTTCCTGTACTTTGACTTATTTCTGGTATTTGAAATGTATTATTTTGAATTTCTCTTAGCTGATTCCTATATATTTTGTTTTTCTTTTTCAGAGGGCTGAAAGCCTTTTCCGAGCACTTTTTGAGATTGTTTTGAACCGTGGTTGGGCTCAATTGACTGATAAGGCTTTGAACTTGTGCAAGGCAGTGACCAAGAGGGTATGGAATGTCCAAACTCCTCTTCGTCAGTTTGAAGAACTTCCAGATTATGTATTTACCTATCTGGAAAAGAAAGATTTGGCTTGGGAAAGTTACTATAAACTTTCATTACAAGATATAGGTGATTTTCTTTGTGGACCGCATATTAGGAAGATGGTTCATACAGCAATTCATCAATTTCCAAAGCTGAGGCTTGCTGCACATGTGCAGCCCATCACTCACTCAGATTTGGGGTTAAGCTCACAATAACTCCTGCATTTGAATGGGATGATGAAAAGCATGGTCTTGTATCTGATGTTAACTTGTACCTGCCTTGATTTTGTCATTAATTAATATATTAACTAGTTCCTCTGCTGATATGCTTGTTAAATCAACAGGTGCCTATAGTCCCCAGTCATGCAGTTTCTATTAATGATTCTGTGTAAGCAGAAGAAGCTGCTGATGATTATGAGTTTGTCATCCGACAGTTAGTGAGAACCCGTGTTATCAACGTGTCTGAGATTAGTGACTGCCCAAAATTCGATCTCATTCTGCTTGAACTGGGTACTGATGGACATGTTGCATCTCTATTTCCAAATCACTCAGCACTGGATGAAAGAGAAGAATGGATAACTTTTATTACTGACTCCCCTATACCCCCACCTGAGAGAATCACATTCACTTTGCCTGTTATCAATCATGCGTCCAACGTGGCAGTGGTCGCAGCAGGTGAAAGCAAAGCAGATGCTGTACTGCTGGCAGTAGATGAGACAGGACCTGATTGCCTGTCAATACCAGGAAGAATGGTCCAACCAACTAACGGGTAGTTGGTGTGGTTTTTGGATAAGTTGCCGCCACAAAACTAGAAGACTCCGACTTGAACAATTGGTATATGAAGTCCCTAGCAGAGGTGTAAGTTTGTATGTAGTGTTAAGGGATTTGGCACATGTTGATCTTGCATATTTATTTTGTTTTGGAGAAAAAGTCTTCGTTTTTTTCCCTTTTATGCTCTCTACTTAATTTAAACTTGCTTTTTTTTTAGTATCTTGAAGGTTTTATTTATTGACTAGAACTTGTGATTTTGTATAGATTGAAAATGAATATAGACCTATGGAATATGTATTCGTGCTCCCGGTAAATCCTAGACAAAATGGACAGCAAATATGGCTAAAGGACTCGGTATTAGAGATTTGTGGATAATGTGCAAGCAAGATGATGCTTCTGAACAAACAGCCTCAACTGATGATAGTTCCTTCACCATGACTAGTCTATTGGATCAGTTAAATACAACAAGAGATTTAACTGATTACTTGTAGTACTCCACAGAATGAGTAATAAAGAACTCAGAATGCAGGCTTAATCTTCTTCTAGGTCCACCTAGCTGTTGGAAAACTACCATACTAATGGCATTGGCTAGAAAACTAGATCAATCTCTTGAGGTCAGTTTTTAAACACAGTATTATAGAATTAAATTAATGTGCAGAGTCATTGAGTTTAAATGATTTTTTTAGCATAACTTCAAAATCAATAAAGATTCTACGTATTAATCGCTGTGATATCCTACCTCTTTACTTAACTTTAGGTTTCTGGAGAAATCTGTTACAATGTCACAGACTAGATGAATTTGTTCCTCAAAAAACATCAGCTTACATAAGCAAGTATGACATACACATTCCTGAGATGACAGTGAGGGAAACAATTGACTTCTCAGCACGTTGTCAGGGGGTTGGAAGCAGAGCTGGTAATCTTTCTTGCCTATTCAATCCTAGATTATCCATATAAGTTGTTGCCTATTCAATCCTAGATTATCCATATAAGTTGTAACTAATACAATACCAGTAGGCGTTCATATGTATCCTTTGAATTGTAGATATAATGACTGAGATCACTAGGAAAGAAAAAGAACAAGGAATCTTCCCTGACCCAGATATTGATACTTATATGAAGGTAATTGTAGTATGGGGAATATCTATGTCATAATTAGAAAGAAAAAAGTTGACAAAAGAAAGTAACACAGACTTTTGCAGGCTATTTCTGTTGAAGGACAAAGCGAAAATCTTCAAACGGAATATGTTTTAAAGGTATATCTGCTTAAAGCAGGGTTGAGTTAGAGCACAAAGTTACTGAATCGCTCACTTTGGATGTTTTTCTATTCTTTTTAACACTTGGATTCAAACTTTTGATATTGTAGATACTTGGATTGGATATCTGTGCTGATAGAGGCATTTCAGGTGGACAGAAGAAAAGGCTAACTACAGGTATCTTAAAAATTAAGTAATGTTTTGTCATTTTGTTACTATTGAGAGTCCCATGTTGGATGAGATATAGCTTGAAAATGGGTTTATAAGTGAGAGACATCTATCACCTTACAAGTCGTATTTATAGAGCTGAGTTAGCCCAACTCAAATATGAAGACAGTATTAGAGCTGATACAAGATCTGTTGGGCTTCCTGCTATCAGCCTCTTAGGTTAACTTCCAAATGCTCAGTTTTGGATGTGAGGTTGTATGTTAAGAGTCCCATAATGAATGACATGTGACCTGATAATGTGTGAGCAACCATCATCTTAAAAGTAATCCTTCATATGATAAAAAGATCCAGTGGCAACGGAACAAAACAGCTGTAGACTACATAGCAATATAGCATTAGCTGCAAACATGTTATGTCATATCATTTATATTTTCTGTTACTTATATAACAATAATGCATACATTTCATTCTTTATATTTGAAATGTTGTGGAATTTGACTTTCAAGGCTCTGATTCACAACCTGGATTCCACGAAGATAAACACTAAAACTCATGAATAACGATGAAAACATGCTTACTGTGGCCTGTACCAGAAATCTAAGTGTCTTGATAACAAATACAATTTAAGCAACAACACAATGAAACTATGAAATTGTACAGTATATCAATATTGAAAAAGAATAACAAATGTTGTAATCTAACAATCTCCTCCTTTTCAGTTCAGGCATGCAAGCAACTGGTTTTGCAGTCAGAAACCTATTTTCTTCAAGTGTCAACACATTTTGCCATTCAGAACTGAAACAACTGGTCTTTACAATAAAAGGCAAACAACAGTACTGCAAATTTGGTGCCAAGCAGCAACTGATTTGCTTTAAAATGGTAGCCAAAACCACTGAGAACATCTTAGACTTAACATCCGTATGTTCTAAGATAGGTTTAATAAGGTTTGGCTATAATGAACTTTTATCTTGAATCAATGAGGATCTGAGAGGAGGGTTTGCGTCCACTAAAAACTGGAGTTCAACTAACCTGCTCTCCGATTAAATCAAGACCAACAACTAGAAAACTTATCCCTTGAAATAATAGGAAGTAGAAGTGAATTCCTTGAGCAGATAGTAAGCTTCTAACTGAGGCAGTTAACAAAATAAATGCAAGAGCAAGTTCTTTCCTGTAGAGCCGGTTTTTCTTGGTCTTTGGAGCTAACTTTGAGAGTTCAAGTTTGCTTAGTTCTTCAATGCCTGAATCTGAGGAAGATCGGTGAAGACTATGAGCTCGCATTAGAGGTTCGGATTGCTTTTCGAAGGCAACCAAATCTGTCTCGGATGATCTTCCCAATTTTTTTGTAACCACCCATTCGTAAGAACTTCCGAAGCGAAATAATCCAGATATCATTGCATTAAATTTGGTTACTGACATAGTGTTCTCAAATAGAAGATAAGGTACTATAAATGGAAATGACCGTGGAGCTGGAAGAACACTAAGGAGAGACATGACTCCGGGAATGTAACAAACAACCCAGGCTGGGAGCTCGGCTTCTGGAAGGAACATGGTCAATGGAAGAATGATGCAGAAGAGGGTGAACGAATAAAATGGCAGAATAAGCTTCCTTAGGAGGAAGAAAAGGAATATCAAATTAGCCTTCTTTGCCCAACTAACCTGGTACAAATGGAATTCAATCAGCGATTCATAATAGTATATCCTTCTGGATGTGAAACTATTTCAACAAAAGTGAATACAAACCAGTTACCATTGCATACAATACGGGATGTGGACAAAAAATTGATTAAGCTCATATGCGGGCATGAGCATTTTAATTGCAAAAACTTTTTTTCAAATTTAAGTAGCGTTTTTTTTTAAAAGCATTAACTATTGGAGGTTTTAACTATGATGACATTGTCATTGATTGACATAATTTAGTTCATTCAGAGACTCAGATGCTTTACCTTTCTTTTTTGCAAATCTTGAGTCTTTATTCTAGAGAACATTAAGTGGAGTAGTATGTTCAACAATTAGGTCATTAAGCAACTCCTTCGGTCAATGATGAACAAACAAAATTTGAAAGCCAAGTTTGATAACAAATTGAACAACAGGGTAAAAGTACATAACTGAACTAATCTCTATGCAATTGATGCATATATGAATTAAAAAAGCAATACATCATGTATCTAATTTATGTATAGAAATAACTATCATTAACCCTCTCTCCGCTCACTAATTAGTTAACAATCATACTATCATTGAAGCAAGTAAGCAGAAAATATTCATGTAGCATAATAGCATGAATTTGATACCATTAAATTGAAACCTTCTTCTTATGCAAATATGCACGCCATTGCCCAAGTACGATGTCTGACAATAATAATGGTAACAAGCAACTTCATGATGTGCACATGTATTTCATTTAGCTATTCAAATCTCATCAAGACTTGCATATTATTATTGAAAGACACCTCGGGAATCAAATGCTGACTTCAAAATACTTAAAAGGATTAAAATTTGGCATAGCATTCTTTAAATGAAAAATAGTAACAATAACAGAATAGTGATTTCATATTGGTATCCAGGGTTCAAAAGAATTGAACAGCTCTAAAAAGAAAACAAACCAAGAATTGCATACCTTTGAACGAAGTATATCAACAAAACACAAACGAAACAATTGCATTGGACCAGAATGCCAGCGGTGCTGTTGTTTTTTATAGGCCTCATATGTCTCTGGAAGCTCACAGAGGCACTGAAAGAAGCACAATGAACATATATAAGACTCTCAAACATTTGAAATTAAGCCTCAAGATTTGAAATACAGTACCTTAACATCATTGAGAAAAATAAACTTCCATCCACAAAGATGAGCACGAACAGCAATGTCCATGTCTTCGACAGTTGTTCGCTCTAACCAGCCCCCACTCTCCTCTAGGGCTTTTATTCTCCAGACACCAGCAGTTCCATTGAAACCAAAGAAGTTAATGAAGATACCATTCACCTGTTGTTCAACCTCAAAGTGGAAAGATAAATTGATATTCTGTAATCTTGTAAGCAAGTTCTCATCCTTGTTTACAAATGCCCATCTCGCCTGGACTAATGCCAAATCATCCCTTCCCTTCAATTAAAGTAAAGTAAGAAGAAAAATTGGTTAGATAGTTATTTAAACTATCGCAAACATTGGTTTGGTATTTATTCAGTTTTTATCATATAAAAGATATCCGTTATATCTTGAAATTACAGCTCATGTTGATGGAATAGTGAATACTTTACAAAAAGCAAAGACAGTTGCAACATTAATGAGAATGATGGCATGCTGGCAGAACAAAGTTATTAATTCATAGTTTAGAATTGGAGTTTGTAAAAATGAGATGATTAATATATTTGATGAATTACGAAAGGAAAACTAATATCAAATTTAAAATGTTCCAATTCCTAGAACTATCAACAATATTCCAAAAAATAGGTGATATAAGGTTGGTTTAGTGGATGGAGTGGGTGATTAAGTAGTGGAGTGATAAAGAGGATGAAGGTTCAATCCACACCCCCAGCATAATCCAAACAATAATAACATTAACTCTTCAAAAATTAAAAAGGAAACTCAGCCAACAAGATATATATTACTATTTACAATCCTTGGGTGAATTACTAGAATTGAAATTGATATTGATAAAAATCAATGGTGCAAACGGGAGGAAGGTGAATGGTAGGACATGGTACAACTTAACACACATCCCTCTGAATGATAACTAATTTGAAATCAGAAATTCAAATAACATTGTATTGGATACTTGAGATTCAAATGTGCACCAGTCTTGTGTTTGAGGAGGGGGTTATAATATTTTGAAATTAAAACTCTAGCCAAAGCATATGAAGAGTCTACAGTATAGAACCTAAATTTAATATGTTCAATCTCAAACATAATAAAATAATTACAAGCATACTATTCTAGTATTAACAACAAATATCTAAAACCAAATGCTGTTGACACAAATGGTTGAAATTTCTACTCGCACTTGTGGTATGTAATACATAAATTCTGTTATGAATTCTCAATGAGTCTGATGGTTCTCTTTGACTATGCATGAGAGTGTGCCTACCCTACTCTCAATTTTAATTTATTTATAAAATGAAAATAACAAATATCTTTATGTTTTCTTTAACAGTCAAATATCTGTTGCTATATCTATTGAAATCAACATTACTTTGAACTTTGAATTTCTGGACTTATATTACCTTGAAATAAGGTACTGTCTTCTTTAAGAAATCTGGTGTTGGCTGAAAATCAGCATCAAATATTGCCACAAACTCATAATCCTTAACATAATCACAACCCATTGCTGATTTAAGATTCCCCGCCTTGTATCCTGTGCGTATAAGCCTATGTCTATAGATAATCCGAACACCCCTTTGTTGCCATTTATGCACTTCTGCCTTGATGAGGTTTTGAATTTCTACTTCATCCGAATCATCAAGAACTTGTATGAGCAATCTCTCCTTTGGCCAATCCAGGATACTAACTGCTGCAATGGATTGATGGTAAACCTATTGTACAAAAACAAAAAAATTTAAGTAATGAATACATCCTCTCGGGTCAAAATGTTATCGTATCAACTATAAGTTGTTTTCATTTAGAAGTTCTCTCAGTCTCAAGCGCGTTTATTTCAACATTTCAACAGATAAGTTCAAATAATTCAATCCAAACAAGCACCATGATTACCCGACAAAATGTTAGAACCTATGAATTGCTAATAATAAAAATGGCATTTAAGCAGAAATATGTTTCAAAAGGACTAAGGAACCTACATGTTCTTACCTCCCTCTCATTGCACATAGGAATCTGAACCAAAACCATTGGATAATCCTGAACTCTCTCAACATTCTTATCATAATCCACACTAGCAACAGGCCTAATCCTCCTGAACTTGATCCAAAAACATCCCAAAATCAAAACAATCCTATCCACCGACTGCACAATGAACAACAAAATACACATATTCGTCAACAACTGCAACGGCGGCGCCAAATAATTCGCCCGAATATCAATCCACCGCGCATAAAACTCCCCAACCAATCCCAACACATCAGCAGACCCAACCGACGGCGGCCGGAAATGCCAGCCTTTAAAATAAGCAACCAGCTCAAACCCTAACAACGCAATTACAACAATCAAAAACACCCTGATGGCTTTATAAAGCCGCGAGGAAGACGAATCCGCTGGCGAATCGCGCGAAGCAATTCTCCGATTCGCCGTTCGGACAAGGTAAAGTAACCCGTTGGATAAAAACCCAACGGTTGAAGCAATTTGTTGGAATTTTAACAAACAGACCCATGATAACTGCCGCGCGCTTCGTGTACGCTCTTTCCTAACTGACGGATCTGACCGGTTGTTGTTGTTGCTTCCTCCACCGCCGCCGCTGCCGGAGACATCGACGGCGATAAAAGGAGATGAGGATTGATCGGATTTATCTTCGAATAGATCGAGATTTTCTCTTTCTCTCTGTTTGTTCCACCATTCCTGAAACTCGTAATTCGGAGCACGAGACATATAGAAAACAACTCAGAACAATGAAAGAAAAAAAAACAAAAGCCGAGAAGAAAGTGTATGAGAGAGACTTTTTTTTTTAGTTTTTTTTTTTTGTTAATTTTTTAGTGTGTGATCCAAAGGGAAAGGAGGGTAAGCTATAATTGGAAAGTGGAACCAAATTTTTAGGTTGTTATGTTTCTTGTTTTGGGGAGAGGGTGATGAAGTTGAATGACACGCGCTGCTTTGGTTTGTTGCGGAAGATGGTGGCGCGTGGAGGAATTTGAGGGGTTAATGAAGGACAGTGGTAGATGGGAGATTGGGTGGGTTGTGGGAGACAAGAGTGAGAAGATTCATGTGATGAGTTAGTTCACTTCAATCAAGGTTATCCCATTGGACTGGTTTTTAGTGTTTTATTAATTGGAGGGAGATTGAAACTTTTTGTAATTTGATTTGGGTTTGTTTAATTATTGGTATTTGACATGCATAAGCATACTCTTCCTCCAATAAACAACGTATTTTATTTGTCAATATAACTTCCTCCGTTAGATAATGATGGTCATTTAAAAAAAAATTAAATAAATGTTGTTTTTCTAAAAATACTTTTTTTTTTCAATTTTATCATCTTATTTTTAATAGTACATGGCCCCACTTATAGGCAACTTATAAGGATCATAAATATTTCAATGATAAAAAAATTATTAAAAGTAGGTAAACCTCTATCTATATTTCGACTTCAAGAGTAAGATTAATTATATGGGTTTATTAATCGGTTGATTGTAATTCATGTTTCAGTCTATGTTTTCTGTTTTAAATTGTTCTCATTATTTAAGAAAAAATGCGACATTCTCAAGTATTAAAATTTATTTTTACTCTCAAATCACTTTCATTCTATCACTAAATTTGATGTTGGAATGTTAATTTTGTAGGTCGGCTCCTCTTCACAATATAAAAAGCTCAAGCCTACTATAGCAAACACTACTTTATTATTTATCGAACAACTCCAATTCCACCATGAAACAGTGGCATCATTAGTGGAAATCGAAATCTGATTTCCACGTTCAAATTTCTTCTAATCCAGAGACTCATATCTCACCTCTTAGAAGTTTAGATCTCTGTTTCTCAATCTTTTTCCTTGAATCTCAACTTTTTTTTCAACAAATTTTTCTTTAGATTCATTAATCATAGTGGCATCCAAAATCACTCGATTCGTTGTTCAAAGACAGATCGCTGTTTGAGCGGCTAAAGATCCATATCCTCTTCCTCAAACAGAAGATTATACAATCTTACTAACTTCTCATTTCAATCCTTCGCAACAAGATCATATTCCACAGAGAGTCGGTCAATGAGTATTCCAAACTCTTCCGTTATTTGGATCCACACAACAATTTCACCAAGGCGAACCTTCACATTATGTGATGCTTAGATAAGAAACGATCCTCAACCTTCAACTGTTACATGTTAATCTTTGTGTACAGGGAGAAAACAATCTGACGAGTAATGTTTACAACATGGTGCAACAACATATTCACAATTCCTCGCATAAAAGTTATTTATGATTAAAGAGACCGTTGTGATCATCACATTACATTATCCTTGTGTTTAATTAAGACAGTCGTTAGTATTGGTTTATGAATTTCATTCGATTTAGACTTGAATTTTAAAATGGGATTTAGGGTTGTGATTACTATCTTAGGTTCTCTTACGTGGGTTCTCAGATTTATCTATTGCGAGAAATAATAGTTTTGAATAAACGAATAGAAAAAAATGGATAAGAACTACCTACTTTTGTCAGCGTAGTTTGTTTGTTTAGGACTATTTAGGTCCAACTATTTAAAAATAAAACTTTCTCAATTGAGTTTGAGAGATTTTCATAACCTCAAACTCAATTGTTTGGTATTTCTAATTTAGACACCAAATCACAATCTTTCAGTGTATGATTGATTATAAGGATATGTTTGATTTTGTAGGGATATATGTGTTTAAAAATTGAAAGCTAAAATAGTCGTAATATTTCTTGTAATAAAAATTCTTTACAGAGAACCTACATGAGGTATGTCATTGGGCAATCTTCATAGTCATAAATCCTTATGGATCTACTCAAACATAACTATAAAGGAAGCATACATGATAATTAATAAAGGCTTAATCATGATAAACAATGTATAAAAGAAAATAAATAACCTCGATTGGAGTGAATTCAAAGTATGATTTGCTCCAAAGAGACTTTTGACAACAACAGAAAAATAAACTTGCAGAAAAATTATAAGTGCTACGATAAAAATTATAGAATGCTTGGTGTTTGTAAATAAAAGTTACAAGGCTTTATGTAGGCTCAATGCCATTAAACTATGCTTAAATTCGAATAAGTGAGCCTTAAACACAAAGAAAACTAATGAGTACTAAAAGGCTGAAACAAAACAACTAAGGAATATGAAAAGTCAAGTATGACGATGAGGAAACTATGCATGTAATAAAAAATTATGGGCTCATTGTAATTGGAGTTATGACCATAATTTTGGTTATTACCTGAGCACAATTCCTGCTGTAATGGCCTAGAAACTCTATTTTTGCAAGGATGAAATTACGGCATAAACCCATGTTATTACTTGGTCGTAATTTCTGTTGCAGTGTGCTGTTTTCTTTGTTTTTTTATTCTTCTTTCATATTTCATGCCTTTGATCCTAAATGTGATATTTTGACATTGCTTCCTCAAAAACATTTGAAACATGGATAAAGGAAGAAAACAACAATAAAATTGGCAAAACAAGATAAAAACCACTAGGAATCAATGACAAAATGCATTACTAAAAACGACAAAGATACTATTAATCAAGCACTTCAATCCAAATAATAGTGTTATGTAGGAGGCGACCTCCCAAAGAAACTAATATGCAATTTATGAGTTGCCTTCCATTAGGGAAGCAACGCCGCTAGGATAAATCATGAGGTCGTCGAGTCGTCGCTCTCACCGAAGACCCGGGATTCCCCCTCCCCCAATCCTGAAGGGGTAAGCGGTAGTCATACTCTCCTGAAGAAATATGATGCATGATTGTGTTTTTTCCTGAAGTGTCTACTAATAAGCATATAAGACCGTTGATAATTGATAGTCAACAATTTCCAACAAAGAGATAAACAATCAGCTATGTTTATTTTCTTAATATCTCTTATACCAAGACCTTCTTTAGACAAAGATGAGCAAATAACCTTCTAATATGTAGTAGTTAATTTTCTACTGTCTATGGTACCATGGTGCCTATCCACCTAAAATTTCTAATGCAGAAAACTAGTTTGTTAAAAACATTGGTTAGTCATTCATAAATCTAAGACTATATAGAAGCATGTCGTGTATGACTAAATGGACCAATTAAATCCTACCCATTATAGAAAGAGGGTGTCCCTTCCAAGTAGTTAGCTTGGCCAATACTCTATTTTATCATCTGTAGATGATAACTTATAGGTTTGTCTTTGGATATAGGTACTCCAAGATAGTTAAATGGTGTTTGTCTCACGGTGAATACAAACATATATGTAATGTGCTTCAACTTAGATCTAGAAATACCTCCACCATAAAGCTTACATTTCTTTTTGTGATTGGAGAGGGTCGGAGCCCAAAAGAGAAAACAATTACAAGATAACGTTCCTCAAGAAGGAAGTTCCATCTAAATAAGCTACATACAAATCAACACCTCATGGGGGAAATCACCAAGGAATAAAATATCACTTATGCTTGAAACATCTAACTTTGCTAGACCATCCACACGCATGTTGGCTTCTTACATTTAGTTGGATTGATGTATTGACTAGAATTCTAATCATATTCATGAAGAAAATGGTTAATTATTTGAGCGTTTTTCTTGGTAGATTTGCAAAATATCACAAGGTCATCTAAAAAAAGTGTGGTTAGGAATGATTGTCTTACTAACTGATATGCACGTAAACTTATCTTGATCCACCAATATAGATAAGTGTCTACTAAATGCCTATTCAATAATGCAAAAGAGCAATAGAGACAGAAGATCTTATTGCATCACTCCTTTAGAGCATGAAAAAATCCTACAGTTTTTCTATTTATCATGATGGATAGTTTGGAAGAGTGTAGAGTGCACTGCTACAAAAAGTATCTATCACCACGGTTGGGAGAAGGATTTTACCACAGTTGATGGTTTGTGGTAACGAATTGTGTGGTAGTAAGTGCACTACTTCTCACCTTGGGGCTAAGGTTTGTGGTGAAAAATTAGATAGAGCACTACATTTCACCACAGTTGGGACTTCCAATTGTGGTGAAATGTCAATCAACCCACTTTTTACTACGGTTGGAACTTTCAACCATGGTGAAATGTCAGTCCGCCCACTTTTCACCGAAAAGTCAGTCAATCCAATTTTTCATCTTTACCACATGTTTGGGCTAACGAAATTGAGAACTTCCATTATAACATAAAATATTAAATATTTCTAGCACAACACAACAAAAACAATAACAATAATAAAAAGCTAACAACAACAACGGATACTACTATAAAATTAATAGAATTATTAAGAAGAAGAAGAACAATAACAACAATAAAAACAACAGCAACAACAAAATTAATAGAATCATTAAACATGAAATCTCCACAACTACAAAAAAAAAATCAATGGAATTGTTAAATATTAAATCTCAACAACAATAACAATAACAACAAAACAAAATCAATAGAATCATCAAACATTCAATCTTAACAATGAAAACAAAAATAACAAAACTAAATAAATGGACTCATCAAACATTAAATCTCAACAATGACAACAACTAAAAACCACAACAATTAAAAAAAAACTTCATCAAAAACAAAACAAAAAAATCAATAAAATCGTTTAACATTAAATCTCAACAACAACAACAATAATAACAACAGTAAATATTTTACTTGACACAAACTCCATATGTCTTAAATTAATGAAAGTGTTTTCCTTTTGTTCAAACTTTTCTTTTCCTTTCTTAGCAAATGTGTTTGACCTATGTGAACAATGTGATTGCATAT